AACTCATTCTACATAATGCCCGCCGTAATATCAACAGACCCCGGAGGTAAAACTGCAACGGAAATCTAGAATAAAAAATATTTTCATCACTAGTCGTTTTTATCAGTGTGTAGGCATTTTTTTTTTAAATTTCCGTGTCACATTTTGACAGGCGTATTTACAATATGCAAATTGGTATACTTGAATGAATACGAACTACTGTAGGTAAATTATTTTGTATTTGTAACTTATTTATACTGAGGTAAACTTACTAACTTTGTGACATGATGTACTGGTACGAAGAAAAAAAATCAATAGATTTGCATCCAGTTAGCATACATATAATCCCCATGACCTTGTATACTACTAGTAACTAAATCGACTTTAATTCTTGCTGGTCATCTGACATTCGTAGGACATGGTCCTCAAACCAATTTATCGCTCCTCAAACTCATCTCAAAGCACAGCAAAACACAGGAACATACTCGTATGTGCTTTATGCTAACTTACCGACCTTGTATGGGTTAAATGCGATGTCCCTCGCAGCTACCATACATATCACAGCTGGCGATGCACAACCTAGCCGACTCAACGAATCCTGTCACACATTATGCACATAACAGATAGCCAGGTACTCCGCGCACAGACACCAACCTTCGATATTAAATTTCTAAATTGCAAATCAATACGTGCACGCTTCGGCTGACAAAGGGAATAAGCAGGCGGTGAAGTCCCCCTTGCCGATTTAAAGTGGTGTAAACCATTTGATGGACTGACAAAAGCCCCTGGTAAACAGGCTTAGTCCTTGGAGAAAAAAGATCAACGCGGAAATAAATGAAACAGGCATTGAACGTCGTGTATTTAATTTAAAGTGCCAGTCAACCCATTGTATTAATGGATGGAAAAAAAAGAAATAAGTTGTCGAGCTATATCTGTTAGAGATATCCACTTAATTTAATACTACCAAGATCATAGAGTATTAGAAGGCAACAATCTCCCAACAAATTGCTATTTATAAGTGATTGTTTCAAATGTTTTTGCTCGCCGCGTTTATTACCGATAGCTGTCAGTCAATTCGTTGAAGCATTGGGCTAATTGTAAAATTATTCGTCATTTGTTTGTGTATTAACAAAAGCACGTTAATGTATTAAAACGCTGCTGTCAGATGGAGCTCGATGCCCTGGTTCCCGTCATGATCGCTGAATTGTGTTATTATTGTTATATTTTAATGCGTACTTGTTCTATTTACAATTTATTTCCGACCATTTTCCCTTTACATTTTATTCATATTTTACTCAGCGTTCGACATAATAAAAAGTTGAGATATGTTGTTTTGTTTTCCCTGAACAAAGTTACAATTTCCTCCGCAATTTAATAGCTAACTTTAGTTAGCTACTTGACCTGGGGCCATATGCCGGTGTAGACACCTTTGCAGAGCACAAACCGATTTTCAAACCATGCCGTTTCACTGATTTACGATTATTGCTGTGGAATATCCATAAATTGTTTCAAATGCAGAGACGACAGACTCACTGTTAATGATACCTCGTTAAAAGGTATAACACAGCATTAATAAACTTTTTCCTGGGGCTATTTGTGTTTGACGGGAGTTAGCTAGCTCAACATCATTGGAAGGCGAGCCCATTGTGGTTTCTATTGTATTTCTTTAGGTTTCGTGTTCGGATACTAGTACCATAAACACTAACAAACGTTGTAATCTTACCTTAGTTAAAAACAACCGATGTACCAAATTGAAGTTACGTCGTTAAAGTCACGGAGAGGTAGATCATCTGATATTCTTTATATGCAGTTAGGAACTCACCGCATAATCTCATATTTTGGTCAACTTCTTTCTCGTTTGAAAGAATTCCTTTTTTATTATTTAATTAAATTTGTTCAGACACTCCGTGTGTAGTGCTTTGTTGAGTTTGTAGCGGAGTTAAACGTACTAACAGCACGTCCAACTAAAGCAAAGATATCCATGTCTCTATCGTACACATATTAAACAAATCTCCTCTATGAATATGTGTACTCCCGAATAAGTGGTGGTCGCAAATGTCATTGTAGCAAACATGACATGCACACTGACGTAATAATGACGTAACGAAACTAAGTAATGCGCTGTTATTCCCAGCGTCGTGACAGCGAGCCCCCCACCGTGATCTAAACAAATAAAGATGCTGGTAAGCAATACGCCCAAAGACCGTACCCCCTTAATCTTACTTCACCTGCCGACGTCTATTTTTGACTTGGTTGGGCGAAACTTGCGGGGATGTCCAAATAGGTTATCAATCAAGAATTCCTAAAAAAAACAGTACTTCATGGATAATTCTAAAAAACATGTGTAGGGCTGTGTTAAAGCGTCCGAAATTCCGGAAAGAGCATAATAGTAAAGTTTTGCAGCGATTTAAGTAGCGTTCAAACCGGTTACTTCGAAATGCGTTGCCCTGTTGAATAGTTATTTCAGTTTTTATTTCAAATTTAGAACGATTGCTGACAGGTACCGTGTTTACTAATAGAACTTCATTGCGTTACGTTGCGTTGCGTTGCGTTGCGCACAAACACAGTGACGCATGGTTATAGGTTGGGAGAGAGGCATCGGTCAGCTTTTTTTACGTGAACCATTATCAACACACAAACCTATAAAAAGAGGCGGAAAACATAAACTGTATTGAAACCGATGTGAAAACTTTGCAGGAAACATGACATTGTCTTCGATATGCAACATTAATTCGTTTCTAAGCGGTATTGAACTTAATTTTGTCGGCTAAATAGAGTTAATGGTGTTTTAAATAACATCGCACGGTAGTCCTCTCTAAAGAAGGCTCCATTCACTGAAATGATCACAAACACGGGTTCCTTGTTAAAATGTTTGCATAGAAATTGACGGCAAAACGAAATAGGGTCATAAAAAATGACCAAGGTGACAGGAAGAATGAAATAGTTCCGGGCTATAAAGTTGAACAAGAGTCGGTGAGTTCTTCCAGGAGTTAATTACAGAGCAATTCGAAATGGACAAAATGAAAGACACTTTTGCAGTCTTTTGTTGCGTGTGACGAATTAGGGACAATAAAGTATTCCATGTATGATGGGGTGTACGACATTATGCCAATAGTTGTCAGGTCGCACTGACACAGGGTACGGTGAAAAAACAAATTTCGTGTGACATCACTGTTCGTTATAATATCACATATATTGGTAGTATATTTCCCCCATCTTCAACTTCAACGGCGATTGGTATTTGGTGAACATGACCCCCCTCTAGCCACCCGAAATGCTCTGCCTGTGTTAACAGACCAATAACAAAACACACAGTTTAGTATTTCGTGCAAGGAAATGGTTCATTCCGCTACCCAATCAGAATTAGATGTAGAGGTATTCACATTGCAGTAGCCTGGGTCAGTACCGGTGGCACACTCATATTTCCGACAAAAATCCAACAACCAGTCGAGCATTTTCAAATTTAGCGACGATACTTCTAATGCGACCATTTAAATAATATATTTCTTGTATTCAGATTTTGTTGTGGTTCTCATGGTAACCCAATTCATACATGAATTCTAAACATGATTAGTATTATGACAGCTGAACAGGGTAATTAAACACGCTCCGTGCATATCGGTCACTAGTTGAGTGTCCCTGCACAATCTGAGCATTTTATATTGACGTTGAACTTGCACGTCAGTACACTCACAAATCACACACATATAGACATTTCACATTGTTTAAGTCTTTATTTCCTTCCTCCTGCCTCGAAAAAGGGAAATTTCATATCAAACAACGCCACATTAATTCTCATTGTGATAACCATGTCATATAGTCGTCTAGATGGAATTAACCAAATCAGGATATGTAGTCAGTTGAATAGAGCAATAATTTTCAAATTATCATTGGTCACAACAAATTTAATTAACAAAATCGCATGAATATATCACGTGATCGGTATTAAAATCGGTGTCAAGTGCTTTTATATACCCCCCTCTATTAGTACTTGATATGTACATTTCAACTAAACACTAGGTCTGTTTATCTTGAAAGCCGTGCCTAATATAGAAACAGCAACATATTTTACGTCTGATATCGAATGGCTGAAATTTGGCAAAACTAACCACGTGTAACAAAGACAGCCAATTATAATAAGACTAATGCTTTATATTTTTACGAAAACCCTATGTGGCTTCCTAACATTATTTGGAGTGTGGTTCCGGATGCCAGAGATAATTATGAAATATATTTACCATTCCTAGAATATTTAGATTTGTTTTTAAATTGAAACGGAGTTATAAAAAATATACATACCCTGTATCAAGGATTTTTAAAATATCCCGTTAGAAAAGACGATGATAATCATAAATAAGACAAAAATATTAAAACAAACAATCGTGAATAGTTTTTGTTCAGAATTCTAAATAAATTTTTCATCCAATATTGACAGAACATGTACTAAAAATAAATAAATGAATAAATATTTAAAAAAAACGTAGACCAGAATGGTGGTGTGGAATCAGGGGGCGCCAACGCTGATAGCACCGTACCTGCCCTGCCATGTGTACGGCTCAACGAAAACGTGCTAAATAGGTGTATTATTGAGACGCTAAAACACTGTATTTTGTTAATGATATAGCTATACTGTTGTTAACAGAGCTATAGAATGGCTTGGATCGCTACCAAAACATATCCTACCGGCTTAGTGTTTTATCGTAATACTATTTTGCT